CACTCGGGTGTTGTCCGGTGGCTATTGGCAGCATACCAAGTGGATTTTGCTAGACTTGATCACGTGCCAAGAAATGGAGAATGATTCTCTCCTTTGGTCGGAGTTCAAACAGCCGGGAGCAGGAGCAACAGGTTCACATTATTCTTGGCCTTATTATTCCTTCTAGTGGAGCAGACATTGAGGTGTGAAGCCGTTAATGTTGGATGCCGAAAAAAAATGTGAACTTATATGACTCATTTTACATGCTAACTCCCAGTCATCTGAATTGCCTTTGTTTGAATATGAAAAAAAAAACAGTTAGCTCAGAGGAGTGTGGAGGCACTCGAGAAAGGAGTCTATTCATCTAGAACAATAATCACCTGTTTTATGGTTTCTGCTTTTCGCGGTACCGGTTCGGTAGTTTGAATGTGACATTTTTTTTTCTTTTCTGTGCTATTTGGCTGTCGTCGGCTCTTTGGAGCAACTTTTATTTACCGACATTAATATGGAACTCGTTATGAGTCTGAAATTACACGAGACTATTACTGCCGCTCATGGTACCATACCACAAATCAGCATGCCGAGAAAGACGCGTTATAAGTTTTCTTCGCACCATTGCATCTTATGTAATGGGACACCCGTAAAATGCTAACTTTTCTGAAATTGTCATCACTATACTGTTATATAAATACATATTCGTAATCTGTAGTACGATTACATTCGCAAAAATCACCGTATTAGTGCCCCTCGGTGGGACTCTGTATACGAGCGAGTTGATAGTTAATAGATTAAGCGCTAAAAAATTAAAAAATTAAAATATCGATGTGCTTTGAAAAGGAAGCTCTTTCAGATGATGTATAAAAACCGGTATGTTTTTCGAAATTAAACAACCCAATTGACACAAATTATATAAAATGGGCATACTACGCAGGGCTTTTACCGATTGGGTGCTGGTTCGGTAAATAACTGTTCATTGAGTTTTTGTTGAATTTAAGGGAAAGATGCTTATACCAAATCCTAGAAAATCAGGTTTTCCCTTAGATTTCTAAAAAAAAAAAACTTACATGTGAACATATTTTTTCTATCTAAAAAAATTGAACTCTAAACAAAAAAGGAAAGGTCGACTTTTGCGGGTTTTTTTAGTCCAATTGTTTGCCATGATGATTTAGAAAAAAAGAGCAAAAAGCTGATATTTTTAGAATAATCAAAACGTGTTTTTTTTTTCTCGGTGCGTTAAGCTTCCCCTCAAGTCTTCCCAGTATGATGGGCCTGTTTAGTGAATTGATTAAAACCCGTCATTGACGTTAACACATACACCGGATTGTGTTAAAAAATGTTCAGACCGACACTCACCGAAAATGATTTCATTAACTTTTCCAATTAACATAAGAGTGCCATTTCCGTGAAACACGAATTTCATGTCGATGAGCTCTCTTGTTCGTTGTAGACCCCGTGATAATGAACTAGGTATATTGATTACTCTAAAAATGGTTAATGCCTTGACGTACACCCATTTCCTTCAAACAGTGCGGCGCCGGGACCGACCTAGGGATCACAAGTTGGCGACGATGACGACGGTGTTCGTTGCCATGCACAACAACGAACAACAACATAATAATCACATAATGAGGATACCGACAACCGACGACGTGCGGAGGACACAGAACGGAAAAGGAAACCCAAGCTAGAAGCTTTTCTGAGTTTTCCACTCCGGGATATTGGTGGGCGACAAGTCACGAGAACAGCCAAACGCCATTACTGTTGATTATGGAAATTGACCTGACGGTGGTGGCAATAGTGTCTCAAGGGACACACGATCGTTGACAATGATGTAATGGAGGTGGGACGTTTTTGATATTATTCTCCAGGGGATGGGTTCAGTACACCTCCGACTGTTGAAAATCGACAAGTATAGCCCTAAATTACATTATTAATCCCATTTACCGATACTGGCTTGGCATGTCTTTTTTCCACAGAGGTATTTTTGGGGTTTTGTTCTACATCCATATTTAATGTAGGTAGGGTGGACTCACGCAAACTAGAAGGTGGCATGTGATAATAAGACACGTCAAGGACTGTCAATTGCCGGTCCTAAATTGTCGTAGGGTCCATATACCACGTGGACAGAAAAAAACATGATTTCTGTGCTACTTGCCCCTACCCAGCCAGCATTCGGTCAACCGTTCGAGAGTTGTATCTGAATGAGGCTTCAGAAACCTGTTTCCTACCTAGCTCCTTCCAACCGAAATTGTTACCCATTAACCTCGAGCCCACCGAGTAATTGGTACCAGGGGTTGAAACAGTTGACGTTTTTCACTACACTCGGTCAGTTGTCGTGCGCGACAGTCTGTTTGTATTCGAACACTCATGCTCTACCGTCGTCTCTCTCACATAACACGAGCGGTAGAATAACATTCGAGCTAAAAGAAAATTATCAAAATAGCTATCATATGACATGTGTAATTTCGTTGTAATTCCTCAATTTGGTGTAAATCAAACCATTTCTGATCTGAAATATTATTACTAGGACATCATTGCTTGCTATTTTCAGAATTCACACAAGCACACCATCAGCAGCTCTTACAGCAGCGCTTACAGTATTTTTTCATAAGGGGAAACCATGTGTGGCAGTTGGCAGCACTGCGAGTTCCTGGCACTGCTTCCCGTGTAGTGTTACGCGGCCCACACTTTCTTCGTCTTAAATATGAACCTAGAACAAAAACGAGTGGTTTTTCTTATTTTATATAAGAATACCTAGAGAAGTACATACGGAGATGAAATTTTTTTGAATTTTACGCACATGGGACTTGTTTTTGCAAAAAATCAGTTTTTTCGCCTGAAATTTGTTTCTAAAATTGTTTACTACAATTGCATTTTTTGATCAATTGAAAAGTTCGTATGTACTTCTCTAGATAATTAATCAGAGAATGCAATCGTCAAAGTCTAGATCAAATTGAGTCAAAATTGCAGATGCTATCGTGTGGGCCGCGGAGAGAAATGTTGTATCGAAAAAAAAACACGGTTGAAGTTTGAGGTACAGATTCAGGTGCGTGATGCAAAGTTTTGTAATTTCGCTTATAACTTTCGGAATTTTAATTTGTTCGACATGGAACCAATTGTCCCTTATTCTTGACACATCAGAGTACCTTTTTTTGAAAATCCTAGGGTGGCGTAACCCCTTAATTAAAAAAATACGGATTTTTGGCTCCGCAAAGTGTCACACACGACTGAGTCTAATAAATAAATAAAACTAAAAAAAAAAAAAAAAAATTACAAAATTATTTCAAAACATTACAAATTCTGGATACTTTTCATGCAAATATGATATCGAATCTTGCATTTCCCGGTTGGGTGTAGTTCTGAGGATTTTCCACTCATTGGAAGCAAGGTTGCAAACACTCATTTCAGCTAAAATAATGTTTTTCGGAACAATAAAACCAAAAGATGGTATGATGACATGTTTTACTTGTAACTTACAAGAAGAGGTTACGGTTGCTACGATACACAAACCGCAAGAACCTAACCTTCCAAAGGTGTATCGTGGACGTAGGGTGTTATTGGATGCTACACACGAAGAACACCGTCATCGTTCAACCAGACCATTATTTGCACATCATTAAGTTAAGTACTCAGCTCAGAAAAGAAACACAACCCCGGGCAACAACAACAACAAAAACTGGTCCAAGAAATCCTCTTAGAACGGAAGGCGCAAGCTCATTAGTGGTGATTTATTTCTCCCAGCAGCCAGTGCCAAAAGCTTACCGAGGCTTGGCTTGCTGCGGTTATAGTGGCGCTAAATGCCGAGAAAGAGCATCGTAGTTGGCGCTGGCGTCGTTATGATAAAAGGTACACGGAAGAAGATTCTCCCACGCACGAATGCACATGTCAAGAAGGAACGAAATCAGAATATTTAAACGAAACCACTTCTGGTAGATTCCCAAACTGCTATTTCAAATGAATCATTCCAGCGAACGACGAGAAGATTAACGACATCACACATCGCGTAAAAATATATATGATAGATGCAACAGCTGCTCTTGTGGGATTGTTGCGTCGCAGCGTACTTTTTATGACTGTTTCAGATATGACTTATCTCAAGATTATTCGCATTTTGGTTAAGTAAATGTTATTTAAACGTGAATTCGCTTTTTCTTGAAAAACCAACACTTTATGACACATTCTGAACCAGTAGATTGAAACGTCAAAGCTTGCTTTAGCTGTTCAGTAAAACATGCCAGTAACGAAATAACAATCTTTCAATTGTCGGCGCCTGCTGTTCATTGGAGAACATTAAAAAAAAAAATCAATCACGATAAAAAGCCAAATTTAAAACGTAGTTACTGCTATAGTAGGTAACTGCCCAAAGTAGGCTCGTCGTCTTCCGAAGTGTGAAGCGACAAGCAAAAAATACATTTTAAATTTAAACTCAGATCTAGGCATTCAGATATTCATAACCTACTGGTGAGTGGTGGTAAGATCCCACAGAAATATGCTTTTTGCGCTTCGCCTTTCGGAGATTTCCACTTTCATCCATGCGGATGGGTGCGAAATTAATCTTTGTGGGTTTCATTTTGCTTCACAGATGATGATGACGACGACGACGATGGTGTGTGGTTTGAATGACACTTGCCGGAAATTATGTTGTCTCAACGTCCGTCGGTCGTTCACGAGGCAGTGAAGAAACACACGACAGTAGTGGCGTTTGTAATTTGTGGTAAATTAGGCTACGTCATAACGTTATTTGAAGTGTTTATTTTGAGCAAGTATGAATTTAGGTCACCTTGAACAAGGTTATTTAAATTAAATTGCTTCTTGGTAAAGTTTGGAACGGTTCAAACATGAACTAAAGTAGCTGAGCGAAAATAAATTGGGATGTAATACGATTATGTTAATTTTGATAAGTAGGAGTCTTTTCTTTTTTTAAGACATGATTAGATATTTATTTCAAATTTCTTCATTAAGAAGAACATTCATAGTGGTTTAGTAAATGTAATCTTTTCCATTTTCCTTCTTCTTCACAGGCATTCTTCCAACATTCTTGTAACGATAACGTGGCCTAGGTGATAAACTACCAAACCGTCAAAGCTATGAGTGCTGCCAGTATATTAGAGTTACAAACGTGGATCGTTTATCAGCGGATTGCTGCGGAATGTGCAAACTGTTTGTGTAAGTATTTCCATCTATCTAAACTGATAAGCCGTGTCTTCTGCGCCTTAGTAGGCTTGAATGTTCTTCATTTGTTGAAATGTTTCGGACACAAGCCGTTAAGAATGAAAAGGATATGGGTTACAATCCAACCGTGGCTCCTAATACGCATTTAGGAGTAGCAAACATAAAACGAGAGATGACAAATAGGAGATAATGGTCGGAAGAAAAAAAAAAAAACGATATGCCACCATCGATGTGTCACGTTGAGAAATGGAGCTCATCTTCTGATCCCATCCTAGCTCTAGTTAGATCTATATGAGAAAAGACCCTAGCAGGAAGGATGACGCAAAATATAATTCCCGAAATTGAATCGTAATTCGAAATGAAATGGGGATCTTATCCGGCGTTGGAAGTGGGACTGTGTGATGATGACGATGATTGAAGTGGAAATTGGAAATACTCTGATAGAAAGAGTGCATTTTGTTTTATTCTTCGGTGTCAGTTTCCCGAGCTGTCTTTTTTCTGTATGAAAATTCATAAGATAATAAGAAATCTCGAGCGACGATTTTTTTTCGTTTCCAAGTGACTTAGATAAATTATAGGGGAATTTACGTATTCTCGTCAATCTAAGCAGCGTCCGCACTTCTATTAGCATTTTGTCAGCGTTACGCACATATATCACGTGTCTGTTTGTTAACATTCATCTGCTGCTTGCTTCTCTATCCATTCCAATCGACAGAATTTTTCAAACCAGTTTGAAAGCGATTTTACAACGCTCCAAACTTCTCAGGTGAGTGTGACTATTGTCGGCAGCCTCTTTTTCTTCGGCAACCTTCCCATTAGAACTGCGTGTTAACCAGCTGTTCTATTATCGGCAACTCGAAATCAGCCCCATTTTGTAGTGCGTATACTTCATTTGAAGAAAAATCTGGCATAATAGGATTGCTCGGTCGTACAAATATAATCAGATTGAAGCTGAAAGACTAAAGAATCGTTTGAATACATTCAGGGAAGTGTGTTGATGGGAAAACATAGTGAAATTATCGTTTAAATTTTGGTTGCCGAAAACAGTCAATGGGTGCCGAAGCCAACATTTACCCTATATTGAAATTTTTTGCTAATCTCGCGTTGCCGAATAGTACAACTGTTAGACACGAAATTTAAACGGAAAGAATGCCGAATAGAAACAGGTTGCTGACAAACTCAATCAGTCATCTGAGACATTTAGAGCGAATGCAGTTTTCGATGAGAACTCCAAGTGAATTCTGATAATAATTCAAAAAGAACCTAAATCCACTATCCTCCAAAATAAGTAATTGGATGTTCAATAATTCCAATTCTACATATACTTCTACGGGAATTGCTAGGAAAATTCTATGGAAATTGGTGGTAGCGAAGCTAGCATAAATCAAGTGCATGGGGCTTGCAATTTTTCAATGATTCTACCCGGACTTGTTTAAAAAAAAAACGTGTTTAGAGCTCAGATTCAATTTTTGGTATCTCGTACTAACGAAAGTTTAGAATTGCGAGTTGATATCTGACTTAGAATTTTCATTAGCAGAATTTGATTTATAAATGCTTGAAGCAAAACAACTTATTTTAAATTTCAGATCAAACTCCTGAATTCAACCCGGTTTTCCCGGCCACTTTGTTAAAAGCTATTTCATTATATAGGCCTAACACCTTAAGATGGGATGGGACACAAGTAAATCTCTTATACGCTGACGATTATCCTCACGTTTATCCAATATGTCAAGAACCAACCACATAAACCTACGAATCGGGCACCTGAATGTCCGTGGTCTTGAACTTCATGTTGATAATGTTTACGGTTTAGAAACTTGCAGTCAATTTAATGTTTGTAAAAAAGTTTGAACATACTGAGAGGTAAGCACATATAATCGGTAAAAGACGTGTGTGTGAGAGAAAATTTGCGAAAAAAATCTAAGGCACCGGTGGGATTCGAACCCACAATTCCCATTCAGTACACGGGTGCATTGCCAATTATACAACGGTGGACATATATGGTCTATGGATGTAATGACATTTGAGTTTCGAATCCGCTTCCCACCCTAGTATTTTTGCGCAAGCGTTCCCTAATGCACAACAATCGTCTATTATCGACAATATGTGCTTGTACCGCAACCACTCAGTATCAGTCGATGTGAACAAACACAGCTCATTTTTGTTGTGCATCCTTACATGCTGAAGTATTTTCAGTACAGTATGAAATGCAACAGTTGAGCTGCCGACCTCACCTCCGACCACCGGGCCGTAGTGATAAGTATCATCAATTACTTCACTAGCTGTGTTTGTTCACATCGACTGATACTGAGAGGTTGCGGTACAAGCACATAACTTTTTTTTTTTTTTTTTAGGGATTTTTAGCCATAGGCTAGTTCATCTCTTGGAAATTTCGAGTAACGAGTTGAAAACGTACAGTTGGAGAGTGCACACGCATCTCTGTTCGCGTCAGTGAGTCCGATACTTTTATCACGTCGGTAGATTGCATGCTGATCGAGGATAGCTTCACCGGTCTGAATTCGGTCCATCTCCACCCTTGGGACTCCAGACAATTGGTGAACGGAGACACGCCAAGCGAGCATTGGGCTCGTACAACAATGTACCATACCATCGTGGATAATAGACGATTGTTGTATATTAGAGAACGCTTGCGCAGATAGTGGCAAAACCATCATAAACCGGACACCATACCACTTTTTCGCTGTTAGCGAAACGAAACTTAAACAAACAGCTCCAGTCGGCACCATACGCTTCCCAGGATTCAACTTCGTCAAACACTCCCTGCTAACCGGTAGAGGACGTGGAGCACGGTCTTGCGGCGGAGTTGGTATGTACATACAAAAAGGCATGAAATACACTACTGTGCTGAAATCAACATTCGATCCTGATGTTCCGATTACCTCTAGACTAGAATGACTTGCAACAATATAAATGACTTAAACATTGGCGTCGTCCGTCTAGCTCCAACCCACTTTTTGCACAATCGTACGAGAAACTCATCTTCGATCTCCAATACTTTGGGTTTGATAGGATCTTCCTGTTCGGGGATTACAACATCAATGTTACTGGGACACAACAGTTCGGCAACCTAACAGCACTAACGCGTATACACACTTTCTTCAACCTAACGGATTGCAGAAACGAGCGCCATAACAATTGGTCTGCAAGTGACCGACTCGCCACAATCTATTATTGCATCCAAGGCAACCACTACCAGCATATCCGACCATGAAATCGATTTTCTGATTTCGAACACCCCCGCAACGGATCAACATTAGGAACTTCAGAAGGGTAAATCCTGTGACGTCTGCAAGCTGATTTCCTAGAGCTGGATCTTCAAAATGTCTACAACATCAACGACGTTGAGATGAAAGCGCAGCAAGTGTCTGGCATCCTGCATAATGCAAACTCATGTTCCAGAAAGCGTCATCACTATTCACGACAAACGAACACCATGGATCACTCAGGAAATAGTTGACACAATCTCCATCCGACATCTCGCTCACGCACTTTATTCGCGTAATCCGCACAGAAGAAGGGGTAATAACGAATGGCTTGATTATACCGCAAAAAGGGATCGTGTTGCATCACTAATTTTTGCCGCCAAGAAGCGCTACGCCGATGGGAACTTTTCCAGTGATCTCCCAGCGAAGAAATTGTGGAATAATCTGCGTCGAGAAGGAATACACAACAACGCAAAGAAGAATGTCACTGTTGAACAGGCAGATCCAGATATGCATAAACGGTACTTTTCCGAAGGCGACAATCTCCTTCGTTCTGTTCCTGGTCCAGGTCTGGGTGATCCGTCTCTTCCTGTAAGCAGCGAATAAGTTCAACGCACCTCCTACAACGATTTAGGTTTAATCACACCAACGTGGAAGAAGTATCGAGGAAAATTGCTGAAATCCAGACCAACGCAACGGGATCGGATGAAATTCCGATTTGCTTCGTGAAAATGCTGTGTCCACATTTTCTGCCGCTGCGTGCATATGTACAGGTCTATCATTGAGGCTAGGATATATCCTTCAATCTGAAAAAAAAGTACTAGTAGCACCGATTCCTAAAACTGCTAGCCCGGGTCAACCGAAAGACTTTAGACCAATAAGTGTCCTTCCGGGAGCGTTGGAGAAGATACTACCAGATCACTGAGCACCTAGACCACCCAAATATGCCACTACTGGCAAAACATCAGTCTGGATATAGAAAAGGTTATAGCACCACAACCGCCCTTACTAAAGTAACACATGACATATATAGCAATCTAGACCAAAACCACTGTACCGTTATGGTCCTAGTTGATTTGTCGTTAGCTTTCAATTGCGTAGACCATCAAGGGCTGAGACATAAATTGCTGGCGGAATTTAATTTCTCATATGAAGCGGAGGAATTGATTACAGCTTTTCTTAGTCATCGTAATCAAGCTGTTCAAATTGGAAACCAGACATCTGCTGAGCGCCTGGTACCCGATGGCACCCCGCAAGGATCCTGCCTCAATGCACTATACCACTATACCAACTGTACGCCGATGATCTTCAAATCTCCATTTCTGGACATACAGATGATATCAGTAGACTGATTGCAACTATCAATTAGGATCTGGCAGCAAGGCTATAGGCGTTATAACGTTCTCTACCCTAATCCGAAAAAAATCTCAAATTATGTTCTGCGGAGAACCAATTGTTCTCTCAGATACAGTCGTCAACCTTGGACTACGAATGGACAACAAATTGAACTGGTTTGCGCAGATCAACGATGTAACATCAAAAGTGTTTGGAACGTTACGTACATTCAGGCGATTTGCCCCGGTGCTATCTACACAAACACGCATGAAGCTGGTGCAGTCAGATATCATACAGTTCTATACGTACTGCAATGTAGTCTACTATAATGGACTCTCTGTAGCCTTCAAAGAACAATTAAACCGATGCTTCAAGGCCTCGCTACGCTTCGTGTACAACATTCGACATCGAGAAAGCACTGCTGCTGTACGTAAT